CTTCCTGGGAAAAAAATTATGAGTTTCTGATGGATTCCCATACTTCTGACGTCTGTTTCAACAGCAGTGGTCTCCTGTAATGGTCTCATTTAGGCAGTTTTGCTTCTCAGCACTGGCATCCTAATTGGTCCTGGAAGAGACAGGGAAGCCTGCTGGGTTTAGGAGACCCTCTCCATATTCCTGCTGTGACCAGAGCGGCAGGTTCCCCTTCAGCTTGGCATCCTTATCTTGCATCTATACTCAGTCAGTCGTTGAGTACCATGCTTAAGTTCAGTTCTTTCTGTCAGCAACTGTCACAGTGATTGTATGAAGCAGCGGCAGGCAACCCTGATCCTGGAGTTCCATGACCAAGTATGTTTCGTACCTAATGAGTTACTATCTGCCTGGGATCAGGTTCATCAGAGATCAGGGGCGCTTTTCCGCTGCACTAGGCACCATAACTTTGGTGCTTTGAGAAAGTACCAAAAGTATGGTACTTCAAAGTGTTGGTTTTCCACTGATGTAAATACTGGTTCTGGCACCAAATGACATCATAACGCGAGCCAGGGTATTTTGTACTGAATTGAAAAAATGGCTGTAATATATTATAGGGCTGGGCGATGTACGATATTAATGCCAACATCGCATGTTATGCACATGCAATTCTTACACCGCTAGTCAGCTAGATTAAGATCAGGCTTTTTCTTACTTTCAATTCTGTATGGATATTATAGTGCAGGGAGTTTAAATTTCGCTAAATCATTTTTACTGTCATAGAAAAAAATTGCTTAGCTAGCTTTGCAATTTTAATAATCATTTCTTTTATAGATAATGTGATTCATGTTTACAAATCAATTTACAGTTTACCTCCACTGCTTTTTCACGAACACTGTATTCGTTCTCCATTACCAGTCGTAATCATTTTCATCATTGCTGTTTAAATCATTCATAGGTTTGTGGGAAATTTGTGATACTCCTTTTTACTTTATAAATACCCCAATGTTTTTTATAACAATCACGTCACTATATTTACAACAACATCACATCAGTAGGAAGATACGCTATATGCGTGCTGCCCTAGTACATTAAAAAAGTACTTTTTAAAATTTATTTTCATGCCATCCTAATCTTTTTTTGTATCTGTTCTTTTGACCAGAATTCAATTATTATTATTATTATTATTATTTTACTTCGTTTATTATTTTCTGAGTTCACAACTGTTTTCCAGGCAACATTTGTATTGTGTTTCAGAGGTGGGCTATTTGCATAAGCAATGGATGAAGTCCCACCCCAATGTACCGACGTACCAAAAAGTACCCCAGCTGGTTTTACACTTTCCGTACTGGAACTTTTGGTACTGGTACCCGACCGGAAGTCACTAGAAAAGAGAAAGTACCAAAAGTACTTTGGTGGACTGTCTGGCAGGGAGCTGGGAGCAGGGTTGGGAAGCTTCCGGATTGCATTCATCAATTTCAATCCAAATCAGGAAATGGAACTCAAATTCAATTCCAATGCTGTTCCCCATAGTTTTTTTTCCGATCCCAACTTCCAGTTCCATTCCCTAATTTTGATTGGAATTGATGAATGCATTCTGGATTGGCTCCAACCCTGGCTGGAGGGGAGCAAAAATGTGGACTATCTGGGGGTCCCCAGGACTGGGTTGGGAAACACTGATCTGGGCGGCGGTCAATTGTGTCCTGATTTCTGTAGTAGACAGTTGGAGTAGGAATGGGGGCTGTACTTCTGATGGGGGTTATTTGCATGTGTGTCGGTAAGAAGTCCTTTGCGAAGGGCCCTTTTGTTTACCGTCCTCTTCTCACACGGACGTGACGGTCACGGCCTTGATAAGTGCTTCACGTTTAGCTTTGAGTCTCTGATACAGGACCACGTGTCCGGTCCATGCGAGGACCTTCAGCATGGATGGAGGTATATGTGGGACAAGATTCAGATGTTTCTATGCCCCGTGTCGGTGTTCTTTGTGGTTCTCTGGCTTGGTCACACGGAAACCAGAGACCAGAGAAGGTGCCGGCTTGTCCGGAGCAGGGATAGCAGGGCGTTTCAGTGTAACTGTGAGACTTATACTGCTTGGAGTGGCCAGTTACGTAAGGCGGGCTGGTGGCTTCAGAAAGCGCTTTAAATGACGGAGGACGCCAAATGTGCTGTTGTGGGTGGATTCTTCACCTTATATTCTCCACTGGTTCCCAGGAATCAGTTCTGACTAGTGATTCTTGGTTTGGGATCCGCATGTGCCCTAACCGCCCCCAGCCCGACTGGAATCATTCTGAAGTTCCCGTGACCGTGACGATGACACTCGTTTGATTGTGCTCCCGAAGATGACCCAGGAACCACTGTGTTTATCTGCGCAGAGCTAGGTGTCACCTCTGTAAGTTGATCTGGACAGTGCGCGTCTCTGAAATCCCGGCCGGAATGTCGGGAATCGCTGCTGCCTTACTCATTCAGCTGATCGCATTGTTTCTAACTCTGACATTTCAATACTGTCCATGTTGTTAACATCATGTTGAATTTCTGTTCTCTCCAATGCAAATATTATAAGATCAGTAGCATGAAACTTTATTGATCCTAGAGGGAAATCCTTGTACATACAGCTGCAATGTTTTAACGCACACAAAACAAACTTATACTACAAAACAACTACAAAACAAGACGAAGTACAAAAACAGAACACATGGAGCAGACAAATAAACAGCGCAAACAGAACATTCTGAATGTTATATAATGAGTGTGTGTGTGTGAATGGGTATACCTTACCTTATGGGGACACAATGTCCCCACAACATGATATACGTGTTTTTTTTCATGCACACACACCCTTGTTTGGACAATGGGTTTCTGTGTTACTTGTCAGATGAAGCAGGAATTCGCTACATTGTGTTTTCACGCGCTTATTTCTTTGACGAATGCCGTGTTTTGCATTGTCCTTTATCTCCCATCTGGGCTGAAATATCTGTTTTTTAAGCTGTTGAGTGAGTACATACAGGCTGAGTGTATGTGGGGAACGCGGCAGTTGATCTGGGGGTGGGTCGTTTTGGGGGTTAGCGGCCGACAGGCCTAAGCCCCCAGCAGCTGGTCCTCCACAATGCCGCCTCAAGGTGAACGTCTCCGGTTTCATGCTGATGATGGTGGTGATGGCAGAGCAGGCTGCCGCTGGCATGTCAGAGCTTCCTGAAGGGATTGCCCTGCCCTGCCCCGCCCCGCCCCGCCCCGCCCTGCCCCCACCCTCCATGTCATGAATGGGGGAGGTGTGGTTTCTAATCTAATCATGAGTAATAAGCATTTTCACAAATCCAGTCACGGAGTGTTAGCAATACGGGGAAGTTCCTAAAACCTAACTATAAACTATAATAAGCATTTCATTCAGTTTATTGTTAGGCTGTATTCCTGGCTTCTGAAATGAAAGTTTTAACTATGTTAACTTGCTGAATATATATGTCCAACAATATTCTTAAGCCTAATAGCATACGAAGAGTGTTCAGAGTGTTATGTGTCGTGGGAGAGCCCAGAACCCCGGCCGACGTCTCACAGGGAGACGAGCCCCATCGTGAAGGGATGGGCCCTGCATGGTTTCTTGAACAAGGGGGTGCTTTTACTGGAATTCATAAGACACTGTTTGTAGTTGTTTGTGTGTGTTTTTGGGAGTGGGGGGAGGGGGATTCAGTCACAGTTCTATATATTTGTATGAGTGGAGATTTCTCAGATGTCACGTGGAGGTGATTTGTTGTCTTGCTGTCTTGTGATTGATGGCGTTTATTGACATTCTTATTAACATTTAATGATGTATGTTACTGATCATGGCTGGGCAGCCAGCTAATGAAGTTCAGAAATGTGGCTACATCATTATTCTTGTACAGGCGCTTAGCTGACATAGGTGATCTGTTCCACAAACCCGTGCACAAGTCAGATTTTACATAAGTCAGACTTACCATGCCATACCGTTCAAGGTACCTTAAAAAACGCATAAGCTAAAAATATACTATTAATGCATACTCAAGAACACATGCTACATGAAAAAAAGATTATATATTTTTGGTGTACGTTGTGTGTTTTCCCCCTTATGTTTTCCATCTGTCAGCTTTCTGCAGACAGTCCTTTGCTGATGTTTGCTCACCCCCCCACTGCTCTGACACACCCCTCGCAGCCACTGGCCGCCCATTCCTATGGGACCCTCTTCCTTCCCCTGTTCTTGTTCTCCGGGAGGATCGTACCAAATGCGCTTCACGGGGGGTGTGACGCGGAAATCTCTCGGCAGGCCCCCCCCATCCAGATGCTCCATCACACCCCTCCATGAGTCATGGCAACCAGCCAGATTCCGGAGGCTCCACGTCACTTTGATTTTAACCTCCCCTGATAAGATGTCAGATAGGCGTTGCCACCCTGCGGTCGCAAAACTGCTGACCTCCCCCCATGATGTTTGCTGATGTCTCTCCTCCAGATCTCTCTTATTAGCTTTCAGTTCAGGTTAAGGAGCAATATTTGTGACTGTCATCTCAAAAACATTCAATAATGCCAACTTTCCAGAGTTCCCTCGGATACCTGCTATTGTAGGTACACGTCCATGATGTTTCTGGACATGTACCAGGCAGTATTATGCTTTAGGTGCCCTGTAAGTCAGTTTTTGCAGACTTAAGGATTTCAATTCTGAGGGGCGTTTCATGCTCCTATTAAGAACCCCTCTGTTTTGGTTGCACTGCCTTGATCTCAGGAGGGCAACCTGGAAACCTTCTGAAGCTCCTAGATTAGGCTTGGTCTTGACCTCCTGCCAGGAGAGATGATCTCTCAGCTGTTCCATTCTGTTCGAACCCCATCAGAGGCCACCGTGATATTCATGTCCCCAATATGACAACACCTACTCAGTCCTCTCTCTCTCTCTCTCTCTCTCAGCATGTGAATGCTTTGCTTCCTGGTGACCTTCAGGTTCATCCTGAAGCTGCAGGCCTTGGTTTTGTTCTCCACCATGGAGTCAAGAGAGTCTGGATGCTCACATCTCCCCCGATTTCCTACAGGTACGCCGGTCATCATGTCCACTGCTCCAAAGAGACCCCTGCTGGCCCAGTACTGCCTGCACAGGATTGTATCCCTGAGGAGAAGCTGGAGGAGGTCTCTGATGACCAGGTAAGCCAACCCCACACAGGGTCCTGCGGGAGTCCCGCTTCCTTTGACCTTTGGTCCTGACCGACACAAATCCTGTTCTGTGATAGTTAATGAAGCAGGAAAGAAGCAGCCTTCAAACCATCCGCTGTTAATCTGCGTAACTCCAGCAAACACAGCTGCTTTGTTGTATTACACAGGCTGCAATGCTTTTTGCTTTGCTAAGGGTATAGTGGTCATTGACGTGGAGGTGATCCATACCTCTGAGAAGGACTCTCAGCCCCCTGTCAGTTTGTTTAGATGGTATGCGTAGGGTTGTCCTTCTGTTTATTTTTTTCCTCTGATAAGTGGGGCTTGGTAATCCGTTTCGGGGGAAGGTGCTGTGGGTGGAGACCATGTGACTGATTTCAGCAGGGTGAGGAGGAGTGGCCCAGCTACATCGAGTCGTCATACGACGTGGGGCTGGAGGCGGAGAGGACTTCGCTGGAGATGTCAAGACGAGGGGATGTGGAGAGAGATCAGGTGCCGTGAAACTGTCTCCCGGGAGTTTCGTTGATGTGATGCTATTAGAGATACAGGGCATGCTGGCTAATGTACCGCTATCAGCTAATGTTCATAAAAATATATCGATGTTGATCTAATGTGTCAGTCTTGACCGATATTGCAGGCTGATATTTAGACTTCAGTTAATATTCAAAGTTAGCTAAAGACACAACTACTAAAATAATGGAGATGATGGCATTGGAGATGATCAGCCATTTTCCATAGTGGAAGACAAGGGATTTTTTGGCCTATTTGTCGTATAGACCCTGGTTACAGTCTCCCAAGTCTGCGCTACTCATCTTTCGTCCCACTGTCTGCATTATATGGTGTGGTTGCTACACACATTCACAGGATGTTAAGAAGTAACATCACTGACATCAGTTTCACTACAGATTAGTTTAGCTCAGCAGTTAGCTGGTTGTCAGTATCGATAATATGAGTCAAAAATATATCGCTTCTCAGTATGGGCCAAGATTTCCTCATTGGTGCACCAGTAGGTGTTATGTTTTAGATTGCACTGATGTCGAAAGAGCCCAGCGGTCTGCACCCGCACAGACCAGCTGCTCGTCTGCTTGTTTGTGACTTTTCCGATGTGACTGGGCCGTGTTTCCTGGGTCAGACTGTGAAAACGAAGGAGCCAGACACGCCGGCCGAACCAGGACCGGTGAGCGACGCCGAGCCGGCACCAGAATCTGAGCTCCAGCTGGTGCCCGAGCCGGAGCCCCAAGGAGACTCGGCTCCTGCCACCAGTGCCGTTCCCGCCGATGCCCCTGCGGACCCCCACGGGGCCCCCGAGGATGTAGCGGCCACGCCTACCTCACAAGTGACCCCCGCCTCGCCATCGAGGTGAGAGCCACGAATCTGGCACTTGGGGGGCTTGGGGTCACCGAGGCGTGGCTGCTGGTTCCATTAACCGGGTGTAATACGGGCCCCTGCCCTTGGAGGTGGCCCTTGGCGTTTGGCCCTGAATGCGCCTCGTTACGGATCCATTCTCCTAACAGTCGTTTCCTTTTCAGCTCCATCAGCGGTTTTTCTTTCTCTCAGTCTGGTTTTGTTTTCACTTTTGGGCCCCCCCCGGCCCCCCCTTCTGCTCACAGTTTCTTCTGACTGAGCCTTTCAGCGTTCATGTTCCCAGACCCTCCTGAGCTGGAGTGGTGCCGTGTCCGGTCTCTATTCGGCACGCGTGAGGGCTGCACATCTGCTTTTTGGGACGTGAAGGACATTGTCTGGCCGTTTGGCCGTCCGCTGGACTCCCCCGCCCTGCCCCGCCCCCACACAGCTTCTGAGGGACCTGCTCGGTCCTGCCACAAGCTCTGGGCTCTTTGTGACTCTTCCCGGGATTCTGATCCCGCCTCTGAGGGGCAGCTCTTCCCCCTGGCTGCGCCGAAGCCTCCGTCCCCCCCCCTCTCCTCCCCAGTCTTCCCTGCCACGGCAGCCCCCGGTAAACGGCCTGTCGTTTCTTTCTCCCAGTTCGATAGAGGTTACCAGTGCCGATTCCCCTGTAGGCGGCTCGGTTGACGCCGAGCCGTCGGCCACCGACTGTGAGGTCACAGCGCCCCCTGTGGCGCTCCTCCCCAGCGCCCCTCCTGCCTTTGGCGGCCCGCTCGCCAGGTGAGTCCCGGCCGGGCCGCGGTGCGGCACACGCAGGCCCCCCCCCCCGCCGCCTCCCTCGCTGGCCTGCTATCCGCTACGCTGAGCTGCAGGCCACCAGCCTCGCCGACAGTGTCACTCAGACGTCGCTGCTCTCTGCTCCGATCAGACTGAGCCTGTCTGTGCTTCTCCATCATTCTTCTTGTCTCAATTTTAGGTACAGACTCACTGGCTTTATGTATCTCCTTTCTTCCTCCCCCATCTCTCTCTCTCTATCTGTCCTTCTTTCTCTCCTCAGCCTGGACGTGGATCACATAGACAACGCCTCCAGTGGCCTGGGCCCAGGGAAGGGGATCAGGCAGCCTCTGGACTTCCTCCCAGATGTGGAGCAGGCTCTGCCGGAGCTGGACCAGGGTGGGAACACCTCCCACGAGCTCGAGCTCGGGGACGAGGAGCAGGTGCGAACGTCGCCCGGCATCACTCTGCGTTGGGGTGTCACTTCACTCTCGTGCAACTCGTTAAGCCGTTCAGAGGAACCGCCTGGGACTGTCTCGACTTGTCGCTGGTGTTTTTGAGATTGTGCAAGACGGAAGCAGAGGATCGAGTTCTCAGGTTTATGTCGCAGTCGGTTTCCATGGAAAATTTCAGAGAGGACTGTGGTTGGGTGGTATGGGGTTCGTTCAGTCAGCACACTGTGACTGTCAGCAGAAGGTCACCGGTTTAAATCCCAGGGTCAGCAGAGTGATGCCGCCGTCGGGCCCCTGAGAGGGGGGTCGCACTTGCAAGGGCTGGTCATTGAGGTTAACCTCGTTACCATAGAGACGGTGCACATACCTGTCAGCTGGGGCTGCGTCTAAGTATTTAATTAAATTAGATTAATATTAAACATTTAATGAATCTTTTCCTCCTTTCCCATAGTTTCTATGTGCCCTTTTTGTGGTGTTAAGTCTTTCACAGAGCCGGTCTGTCCTGAGCAGTGTCTACCCGCAGGCTATTGGGCTTGTGAACCACCCCCACCCCCCCCTAGCATCCCCCAAATTGTTGATGTGTTTCCAGCCAATGAGGGGCTGGGTCTGTACTTACCCCTAAGCTCCCCCCTCCCCCACTAGACACACACTTCTGCAGACATTGCATATCGCTTACATGTTTATATTGCAGTATAAGATGACTTGGCATCGCATTGTTTACATATCTATTGTCATAATAATTGTACTTTTATCTTTTATCTTGAAGCACCTCAATTTGCATTTGTGTTTTGTGATGGATTTGTGTTTACCGGTAACAGGAAGGACATGCAGAGAGGGATTTCCTTTGCATAGTGTGACTGACTGTTTAGTCAGCAGATGACAAACTCTTGAATTCCGAATGTTCATTTCCCAGAATGCTTGAGTAGCGCACATTCCCAGCTCAGAGCCTATTTATATATTTAGTTATTTAGTTATTTTTGCTGGTGATCGCTCTGGCTCACTAGTGGTATGCTGTTTGCACACCAGAAGCTAATCCTCTGCTCGTCCTGCAGCAGGCTGCAGGCGTCCCTGTCTCCAAGGAGCCAGACCCCTCCGTGCCAGGCAAGGAGGACATCCCCACCTTTGATGAGTGGAAGAAGAAGGTGATGGAGGTTGAGAAGGAGAAGAGTAAGTGGGAGGTGGCTCTTTGCTGTCCTGACTCCTGGTGGGGTTAGAGGGTTTGGCTGGGGAAGGGGTGCCGTTCCCCGGGACCCTGGCATGGCAGCAGTGTCCTCACAGACAGGGCCTGAGTGTCAGCGGGGAGAAATGGAGCATGCATGATGCCCATTGTGTCAGGGGGATTCGGGGAGAATGCCGGCAGGCTAATGGACTGGTCCACTGGAGCAGAAATGGGGGTGTCAGATCATATCTCTGAATACCGCTGTCACCATGGGACAGGCCCCGTCCAAGCTGCCTGGGGGGAGGGGTGATATCCTGAAACTTTGCAGGAAGAGATATAATAATTGGCAAGACATCGAGGGAGGGGTAAAGGCGTAAAACCCAGAATGTACCATAAGACCTTCTGGATCTTCTCTCAATCTCTGCTTATCTGTCCCTGTACTCCAGCTCAGTCACATAAAGACCCCACCCCTGTT